GGGGGAGTGAGCGAGCGGCTGGGTGGGGCTTAGTTGCCAGCTGGTGTTAAACCACAACAGCATAACAAGCCAACTGAGCTGCCTCCTGCCCTCCCTTCCCACCCAGGGCAGAACTGGCTGGCTAAATCCTCCTTCAGCTCTTGGCAAAAAGGGAAACTGAGGCATGGAGCAGTGGGTGCACAGCTCTGGCCCCGGCTCTGTGGCCTTGCCAAGCTGCACCATGGCAAAGCTTTGCCATGTTCTCTGGCAACCTGGTAAGCAACAAGCCCTGGAGCCACCATCCTGCCCCATGGCACACAGCTCTGGCCACGCTGCCTCACTCATGCTTGGTTGCCTGAGGGACCGACTGGCTCCCCTGCCCCATGGCTGGCCCAGGTCATGCAGGGCACCTTTGGGATTTTGCTGTCTTCCCGGATGGGAAGGCTCCTGGCAGCAGCCCACCACGGGGACTGTATTTCTCATCTGCTTGCTTGGTCCTGGCAGTCCCTCGGGAGCAGGCTCCATCCATTGCAAGCTGGGTTTCTCCAGCAAGCGTGGCCTTATGCGGGGTGCCCAGGCATGGGGGCTGGCACGCGTACAGCCCCTTTTTCAGCCTAGGTGTCTTCTCCAGGCAGATCCTGGAGGAGCACGTAGATGGGCAGAGCCAAGAAATCATCTGTCTCGGAGCCACGCTAGGCAGACCCGCTGCACGTCCTCTGCCCTGCTTCTACCGGACCACACAGGGCCTGAGCGGGCAGGGAGGGCCCGGCTTGCTGGGCTTGTCGAGGGTACCTCACCCCCAGGCACAGAGGGATGAGCAGCCCAACATGTGATGTCTTGCACCGAAAACCCCACGCAAGTTGTCCCGGGACTGCACCCTGCCCCTTTCCCAGAGCTCCAGGGGGTCTGGCATGTCCCTTGGGGCTGGAGAAACACTTCTGCGGAGTGCTTGGGAGGAATGTGGGCATGAAGGGCATCAGCAGGCACCGCAGATGCCTCTCGGTGCGAAAGTACTGGATGGAGCAAAGGCAGGGAGGCTTCCTGCACTGTGGGACTACTGAATGTCAGAGTTCCCCAGGCCTGACCTCCTCCTCTTCTGCCTCCACATCCCGAGTGGGTGGAAAGTGAGGATGTTCGTGTGTGACTGCGCAGTGGGGTCCATCAGGCTGGAGGGTACCGTGGAAGTCCTGCGCATACTCCTTGTGCCTGCAGAAGCCATCAGATTAGCCAGGCCACGCTGGCTGGATGAGTTGGACCCAGCGCACACACACACACACTCGTGGCTGGGATTTCCAAAGCCCCGTCCAACACCACAGGATGTCCAAGGGCAGACTGCACACCGTGCCCAAGGCTCAGGATAATGCAACTTACTCCAGAGGAAAGTGCTTTATCTGATATGAATCAAAGCAGATTAAAAAAACCACCCATGGATTAATGAGAGATATACATAACAAAGAAAATGGGAAGTATGTCACAGGACTGTGGTTTCAGTCAGCTGTTTTCAGCAAACATGAGGCACAGGAGGTTTTGGTGGGCAGTTGCTGCAGGAGGTTGGGGATCGCTGCCATGGGCAGCACTTGCTGCAAGAGGAAGGGGCTTGGGGAAGGGGGACCGGGGCCCCGAGGCGGTGGTGCGGGGCTGGGCAGCGCTGGTGCTTTACAAGCAGTCGCTTCTCGCTTCGCACGGCAGGTCTGACTCACTTATCTGGAGGTTGAGCTCTGTTCTCTGTTTGTCTGGAACAGAAAAAAGACAAAACCCACCTTCACTGGTCTCTGGTCTGGCAGGGTTCTGGGCAGGGAGCTGAGCAGAATCTCTGGGAGATGCCACAAAATACGCGGAATTTCCTGAGAAGTCAAAATACAGTTCTCACTTCCTCTCAGCACGCCAGAAGAAAGAAAATACAACACAAAGTGCAGGAAGGAGAGGAAAATACAGGCAGTATGTGCTGGTTTCCCATAGTGCTTGTTGTGATAGGAACTACCTCGCCAGATAGAAATGCTTCTCCCCATCAGGGAGAGCGCTGAATTTCCTCTGAAAAACAATGAGATTCATTTCAGCAAGAAGCAGCAAGCTGTTTTCAAGCCCTGCTGCTCTGGCAGAGGTGAGGAGAAGGTGGTGCGGGGCTGGGCAGCGCTGGTGCTTTACAAGCAGTCGCTTCGCAGAGGCTGCGGCAGGTCTGACTCACTTATCTGGAGGTTGAGCTCTGTTGAGCTGAGGGTCGTGGACAGGTTGTGAGGCTGGTTCCCCTCGTACATGGTGTACTCCTCGTGACGCTGCTGATGGAGGTGCCAGAGGATGTCTCTGGACAAGAAGTGGGTCTCTGCTTTGCCCGACTCTGGAACAGAAAAAAGACAAAACCCACCTTCACTGGTCTGGCCCAAGGCAGGGTTCTGGGCAGGGAGCTGAGCAGAATCTCTGGGAGATGCCACAAAATACGCGGAATTTCCTGAGAAGTCAAAATACAGTTCTCACTTCCTCTCAGCACGCCAGAAGAAAGAAAATACAACACAAAGTGCAGGAAGGAGAGGAAAATACAGGCAGTATGTGCTGGTTTCCCATAGTGCTTGTTGTGATAGGAACTACCTCGCCAGATAGAAATGCTTCTCCCCATCAGGGAGAGCGCTGAATTTCCTCTGAAAAACAATGAGATTCATTTCAGCAAGAAGCAGCAAGCTGTTTTCAAGCCCTGCTGCTCTGGCAGAGGTGAGGAGAAGGGAAATTAAAAGGAAGAAGGGATAGCCTCGCTCCTTCTCGTCCCGTCAGGAGGAACGCCACTGAGCCAGCACACACACCAACACCTGTCCGAATGCTGGGGAGGGTTTGACAGCCCCAGCCGTTTCTCCCAAGAACATCAGCAGCGAAGGGAGCTGCTCCTTCCCCTGGAAGCCCCCTGTTATATTTAATCCTTGAGGAAGCGTTCTTGCTGCCCCAGTGGAAGACTGCTTGTCTCAAGTGCCTCTGGGGACTTCAACAGGGACCAGCTCTGCCAGCAACCTCCCCACTCCTCCAAGACCCACAGCAAGAAGTCCTTCTGTCTGGGGATGCAGCCCCTTCCTCCCACTGTGGCAGGGACCTGCATGCCCGTGTGAGTGGGGATATCAGCCAAGTGCTACGTGGATCCTGCCTGCTTCCCCTTGCTTGCCCTGATCCGAGGTCACTCAAGGGGCTGGGGGAGCACAGCCACCGTGCTGGGCACCCCTACCCTCTTCCCCTCCTCACTCACCCTCGTACACAATGAGCCGGTAGGTACCCGCGCACTCCTTGGAGCCTTTCAGGATCTCCTCCAATGTCCTGTAGAAAAGCTTGGCCTGCTCCAGGCGGTCCTCCCGGCTGAGGGCAGCACACTCATCCTGGGACATGGCGTAGAGGGACTGCAGCGGGGTGGCGTACTCCACTGCGCAGTGCCAGAGCTGCAGGGATGGAAGAAAAAGACACGGGGGCAGGAGGACCAAGCGCCTGGCAAAGGGCTGCCGGGCGACCCTGGCGCTGGGCAGAGCCCTCGAGACCCCTTGGCAGCTCCGTGGCCTGCCCTGCACTGGTGCTGTGTGCTGGACCCCCGGGACAGGGACAGGGGTTCTGGCCCCAGTGTCCCCCTGCCCTGTGTCGAGCGGGGAAAGAGCAACTGGCCTGGCAGGCAGGCAGGTAAGGCCATGCCCCGTGCGCCAGGTGGGCTCCGGAACCTGCCTCCCTCCCACGGGGCCCCAGGGTGCAGCCACTGGCTTTGGCAGCACTCCCAATCTGCAGCCTGGGGAGTGATTTTCCCCATGGAGTTTGGTCCTCCGTGGAGACGCCCCTTGCCCGTGACTGATCACACCTTGGTGGCTTTTCTGCTAGAGAAGGGGAAGTCTGAGCATCCTAATGGAGCGTAGGAGAACGGAGAAGAGGATAAATGCTGGCAAGGCGAATGCACAGCTAGAAGGAGGCTGATCAAACAAATGAGGAGAGATTTGTTAAGGCCATAAAAATTCCAAGGAGGAGCAGGGTTACCAGTAAGTGTTATATGGGGCAAACTGGCTTGGTGGTTTTTCTGCTAGAGAAGGGGAAGTCTGAGCATCCTAATGGAGCGTAGGAGAACGGAGAAGAGGATAAATGCTGGCAAGGCGAATGCACAGCTAGAAGGAGGCTGATCAAACAAATGAGGAGAGATTTGTTAAGGCCATAAAAATTCCAAGGAGGAGCAGGGTTACCAGTAAGTGTTATATGGGGCAAACTGGAAAGTTTAATAAAGCATGTTAGAAGGAAGAGGGACGGGATCCCTGGGTAAATGCAGAGCAGCAGGAAGAGCTACCAGCCTTGGAGGGCAGTTACCACAGTGACCCGGAGCAGGCGCCAAGGCTTGGACCTACCATCGCTGCCATGCACGCGTTCACCAGCGACTCGGCAGCAAGCTGAGGGACAGATTTTGCTGACAACATGCAGCGGGTCAGGGCAGGCCCAGGCTGCAGAGCTGCTGGAGCTCACTTGGTGCTGAGTGACTCAGCAGGAGACTGGCGGATGAAACACGGCATCAGTGCGTGCATTGTAGCAGGAAAAACCCGATGCTGACTGTACTCCCCCAGGAGCAGGGCCAGGAAAGAGGCTCTGGAGTCCCTGCAGGCATGGCTTTAAAAGCAGCAGCTGAGTAATCGGCCACCGTCAAAGGGCAAATTAGGGAGACCCAGGTGAGAAGCATCGCTCTGCCGATGCCTCCATCCGCGGCCGCGTCAGCAGGACCAGTGTGTTTCCTCCTCCAAGGGTGCAGGGGCAGAGGCCCATCTGCCTGGAGATGTGGAGGGAGATGAATGCAATGTGAGACAGAGGGATTTAGGGCTCGTCAGCCCGGAAAAGAGGTGACTGGGGGAAGGGGAGAGAGTCAAATTATATAATGACTCACACAGACATTTTCAAGCACTTCTTCACAACAAAAGGAAATATTCATTAGTCCCATGGGAAGTGATGCTCTGGACCCCACATCTGCTTTTTTCTGCTCAGTTTTCTGCTGTTTTCTGGACTTAAATCAACTCCAGGAGGGGTTAAGTGAGCCCAACATCCCTGCAAGGGCTGAGCCTGGGAGGAGGCAGCCAGGAGGAAGGGGTGCAGATGGCCGGCACGGACAGGACCTCTCCATCTCATGGAAGCCTGCTGAAAGCTGGGAGTATCTAATAGGAGAGGGGACACTGTCCTGCCCTTATGGCCACTTCTGGGCCGGGATCTGAGGCCAGGAAGACGTTTGGGCTGAAGCGTGCCCACTGCTCTCCCGATGCTGCACTCAATATACCTTGTTGTCTTCATCCCTGATTGCGTAGAGGCTGTGTTTGTAGACCCTTCTTTTGGTGCCAGCTCGGGTCAGGGTGGTTTCAGTGAGGTCTGTCAGGTACTGGATATTGCTGTCAGCTTTCTCCAGGTCATCATAGACGTCACAGCTCAGAGGGACCAAGATGTGGAGCTTCCAGGTCTCCCTGCATGCCAGCACGTTGGGGTTGGCTCTGCTGAATTCCTCCATCGACTTTTTCACCCCTGGTGGAAGAGAGCATCGGGCAGAGGTGCCTGGCGTGAGTGCAGCTGCTTTCTACCTTGCTCCCCATTTCCCTGCTAACACTGTAAAAGTGGGAGGATTGTTATTAGGAGCTATTTCTATCTGTAGGCGTGATAAAGCAGGGAAACAGCTACGTACGTGGCAGGACTATTTTTAGGTACCCAATGTAGTAAGACCAGGCAAGCCCATGAGCGACGTTCTGCTTCGACCTCTCAGACATCTCAGACATTTCCACTGCTGAGGGCTTCTGCGGAGGGAAGGAAAGACAGACCAGCGGTGATGAATGCAGCCACCTGGGCTCTTCTGCAACAGACGCTTCTCTGCAGAGACTGGAGAACAGCCACCTTCTCCAAAGAGATCTGGAGAGTGAGCAACCCTGCTGCTCCCTTCCACCGCCACGTCGGGCAGCGGGGCCAAGCATTCTTGATGGCCCACACAGCCCCTGCAGATGAGGAAGCTGATGCCAGAGCAAGCTGGACACGTTTCTGGCTGCATCCTCCACTGGGATTGCATGTCCTAGTGCAACTTGTGCATCTGCTCAGTGCTTCCAGTATGCGGGAGGAGACATCGCAGCGCCTGATGGTGGGATTTCCAGGGCCACCGGTGGCCCCTGCCAGCTCTGTGTGTTCATTTAGGTGGAAATGGCTGTTGAAACCCCACAGGCGCCTGACGGCTGCCCTCCCCAAAGCAGCTTTCTGTAGCCTGGGCGACCCCTCTCCCCTTCCAGCTCTGCTGGGGTAAAGCAGAGCCCTCCCAATGCTGCAGAGGTACCTGGAGCTTGGCTCTGCCACCCACAGCATGCCTGATAATTAACCCTTTGGAGACCATACAGGCTACCCTTTACCCCCAAGCACCAGCTTGATTGATGGATTTAAAAATACCCCTGTATTTTGTGTCAGCGGGGCTCTGGCTGCAGCAGGGCTGCTGCCAGCGCCCGGGGGCGGCTGTGCTCATTAAATGGCAGCCTGGCCCTCCTGCTGGTGTGCGTGGCAGTATGGGGCCGAGGAGATCAGCTCTTTGGGGCTGAGCTAACGAGAGCGTTTCTCACGCTGCGGGGCTGCGTGCGGGTGGGCTGTACGTGCGGGGGCTGCGCAGAGCTGGGCCAGCTGCCCCCACGACCGCTCGGGGCTGCCGTGCTCCCCGGGATGCCTGGCCAGGCTAGAGGTGTTGGTGCCTTACTTGGAGCCCCAGAGCGAGGATGAGGAGCTGGCACAGGCTGGCCAGGGTGAGGTGGAAGCTGAGTGGCTGTCCGTCTCCATTGACAAGAGTCACATAGGCTGAGCCACAGGCGAGCAGCATGGGCCTGTGCCAGTGCAGGGGGAAGCAGGCGCTCAGGGCCCTCCAGAAGCTGCCGTGGTACCTGGGTGGGGAAGGGAGATAGGAGACGGGCTGGCGGCCACCCGTCTGCCCGCCATCCCCATCTGCAGCCCACGGGGCACTGGCTGGGGGATGCTCCCACCTCCCTGCCAGTGCTGCTGACCTTCTAGAGCAGTACCGGAGCCAGGGAGCCCTGTGGGACCCTGCTCAGTGCACCCCAGGTGCCCCCAGCCAGGAGAGGGCTTGGGTCTCTAGCAGCACCCATGGGTCTCGGAGGGGAGCAGATGCAATGTTGCCCTAGACAGCAAGGGGAGATTACCTCCAACAGCCCCGTGCCCTCCGGCACTGGGTGGTGGGGGAAGGCTGGGGGCTGAGATCTGCTCCCCAGGTAAAGGGCACACTAGGGAGCTACCACAGAGAGGAGAGGGAGAGGTGCATAGACATACGGGGGAGCTGGGCAGGCAGGAGACGGGAGAGGAGGAGGAGGAGGAGCTGAGAAAGACACGAGGCTGGTGGAGAGCAGCATGTGCTGCCGGGGCACAGCAGAGCATTGCCACAGAGGGCACTTGTGGGGGTAGACACAAGGAGCAGATCCCTCCCGACACCCAGAGGCTGCTACGCCCTTGTCCCCAGGGTGGCCCCAGGAGCCCAGGAGACAGCCTCCCCCACGCTGGCTCACCTGGATTGGAGGTGGAAGATCTCCTCGACCAGGTAGCAGATGCCCTTGAGCAGCACCCCGATCTGCAGGCCCACGAAGTGGGAGGTGAAGCTGCGGATGGTGGGTATGAGGGGCTCCCCGGTGAGGTACAGCGCTGCGGCACACAGAACCAGGAGCAGGTACACGGCACGCTGCGCTCGCCGTCCCCGGGCCTTGGGGATGAGCAAGGCGGTGGGGTGGCTTGGCTGCCACGATTCCCGAGACATCTGCGGCAGAGAGGGGGAGTCAGTAGCAATTGTTGTCCCCAGCGCTCACAGCAGCACTGTGGGGAGCGGAGAATGGGGACACACATGCACATCCAGCATGAACACCCCAAAGCACGCAACAGAGCCATCCCTTCCTTTGCATGCTGCTGAAACGCAGCCGCTTCTGGGGAGGTTCCCTTGTGCGCTGCACAGGCCACCTCGGGGCTGCCCCCCGTGCCCAAATGGGCTCGGCAAGACAGGGCCTGGTTGGCCACCCCACTCCCAAATCGATGCCAACCCTACGCCAGCCCTCCCTGCTCCGCAGCCACCATCGCTCCTCTTGCCGCACTCACCGGAGCAGTTACCAGCCGTGAGACCGGACGCTGCCTGGGTTTCCTGCACTGCAGTTAACTGGCTCTGTGCTCCAGCCCTTGCAGCCGTGGCTCTTTTTGGAGGCTGCTGCCGCAGACAGAGACCCAGAACCCCCACAGGTGCAGCTGCACGATTCCCAGCACTGAGAAAAATGAAAATGAAAGGAGTTGTTGCAGCTGCAAGCAGCTTGTAGAAAGCACTAGAGCCCTCCCACGCAGCGCACCCATGAGGCCTCTCAGCCTGCAGGAAATCCAGGCACTTGGCAGCGCTGGGTGGATGTGGCAGGTTTTGACATCCGTGAGCTCACGCCTCTGGAAAGCCCCAACGTATCTGTCAGGTCATAGTGGGGCTGAGCCGAGCTGGAATGAGAAAGCAAACCAGAATTTATTGAGATTTAATTTATTAAGTGCAGCAGATTTCAAAGATTGAATTTATTAAGTGCAGCAGGTTTCCAGGGGCGAAACAGAAGCAAATTCCTTCTAGCAGAGAGGGTGACTCACAGCACCCTGGATCCCCCCACCCCACCCAGCTCCGGGAGATGCTGGCTCGGGAGGCAGTGCCCAGCCACTGGCGACACAGCAGGGGCTTCCTGCAGCCAGGCTCTTGCTGGCCAGTAAGGCCCTCAAGCCTCTCAGGTCCCTGGTCCTAGCGACCACAGACCCAGAGCAGCCGAGGTACACAAGGCCGCCTTTGACTCAGCTGTTATTGCTGAGGTTTGCCCTCAAACCTCCCAGGTCCCTGGTCCCAGCAGCGGAGTCTGCAGCAGTGAGGCATTACCCATCCTAGAGGAAGATTGACTCAGCGCGCACACACACAAGCCCATAGGACCGGGTGGGATGCACTCGAGGATGCTGAGGGTGCTGGCTGATGCCATGGCAAGGCTCCTCTCTCATCTCTTTGGAAGACCGTAGCAATCGGGAGGTTTCTGATGAGTGGGAGAAGGCAAACATCACTCACAACTTTGAGCAGGGTGAGAAAGAGGGCTTGGTGAACTACAGCCTGCCCAGCGTCACCTCCGTCCCTGGGAAAGTGGTGGAGCAAATCCTCCCGGCAATCACTGCCAAGCACCTGAAGGACGAGAAGGGACCAGCCAGCAGGGATTTACAAAGGCCACATCGTGCCTGACCAACCTGACTACCCTGAATGGCAAGAAAACTGGCTGTGTGGATGGGGGGAGAACCTTCACTTCAGCAAAGCTTTCAGCATGGTCTCCCATGGCCTCTGTGTAGGTAAACTGGGTAGATACAGGCTGGGTAAGGGGGTGACCGTCCAGAACAAGCTCTGGGTCCAATTGCTTTCTGCCCAGGAATGCCTGTGGACGCAGGGAGGCTGCCAAGGGACCCTCGCAGTCCCCACAGACCCACAGGCACCTTGCTGGGGGTCTCCGCAGGCTGCAGTGGGCACACAGCACAAGGATCTTGATTCAGATGTGCCCACAGGTCACATTTCATTCAAGCATTTGCAAACCCGGAGGGTGGGAGGAAGGAATAGATGCCCAGAGAGACTGGCAGTGTGCTACTTGCGCTCGTCTCAAGGTTATCGGAGTCTGTTTCGGTGGTACTTTAGAAACCGCAGCAAACCCGCTTTACAGGGCATCTGACCTGTGTTCCTAGCCTGGGGAGGGCTTGTGGATATAGCCAACGTGTTGTTTGCTTCTTCAACACAAAGGCTGGCTAAAACATCAAGCGAATCACTTCCTCCTCCTGCGCTGGGTTGTCCCTGGTGGCTGAGCTTCACTGACCAGCTCCGGCTGGCTCTTGCGGTGCAGTGGAGGAGGCTGCCCGGCTCCCCAGCCCTCTTCTCGCCGGTCCCTGAGCAGCTGGGTGGCTCTCCTGCCCATGCAGCCTGGCCTCTTGCTTTCTCAGTTCTACCTTCAGCGTGCTAACACCCATGGTATTTCTGTCTCTTCTCACTTCTGCTCTGAGCCTGCCTTTGCCCCACAGCCCCAGATGTGCCTCATATGTAGCTGTTGCCCAGGTGCTAATTGCAATAAAAAAAGCAGCATGGAAGAGCCGTTTTGTCTGCCAGAGCCTGCAGAAGCAGACAACAAGGCTGGAGGGAGGTGAGGATCGGAGGAAAGAGGAATTGCATCTGCAGCTTGCAGGCCAGCTGCAGACGGGGACAAAATGAGAGCTCCCATGCTCTCAACCATGTTGCATCACTTCGACACCACTTTGCTCTTGAACAATCCTCCCAGCTGCCCCCCAGCCTGCCCAGGCTCCCTGCCGTGCTGCGGATGGGACTGTGCATGTGGTGCACAGCTCGGAGCAGAGCTGTGGTGCCCAGTCCAAGAGCTGAGCCTGAACTCCAGGAACGAGATTTGAATGTCTCCAGCGGAGGCTGGACATCTGCGACATCTGAGCTTGCCTGGGAACGGAGAGCCCAGTGCTGCCCAGCGCCTCTGCACAGCCAACAAGAAGCGGGAGCACCAAAGCTGCCGCTTTGTCCTCCCTGGCCTTTTGTCTAGCCGACAATTTGCCTTTCCAGATTGTGCCTTGATTGAAGTTTCCTTTTTCCCCGTTTGCTATTACTCCTTCAAGGGGAGGGAACAAGAAGTCATGCATGACGCCAAAAGATTTTAGATGCATAAAAAACCCCAGCAAGCGACCTCCCCAGACCAGTGCCATGGCACTTCCAACCAGGCTAGTGCTGACACCTCTGTTTGAGATTTAGTTGGGCAAAGAAATCAACTCTCTGTAAAGCAGTCCATAAAACGCACCTACACTGCAGACCCCACTGAGACTGGTAGTTTCTCACCCTAGAGGTTTTTAAACCGCTAGTGTGGCAGGCACCATAAACCCCTCATGCGCCATGTGCCATGGCCTCTTACTAACCACAGAGCAGCATGTGCGTCAGCTGGTGCTCACTCATGAAAACCGCCATGTGTGGCACAGATGGATGCGTGGGGCATCCCCACCTTCCCCACGCCCCATGTCTTGGGCCACGTGCGGTCTTGGGCAGTTTCCCACCAATGCCTCCGTGGGATGCTCCTGATGCAGACAAATCACAGCAAACCCACCTCATTATGTTATTGGAGATGTCCGCGGTCACCTGCTAGATAACTGACTCATCAGCACCAAACTAGTCAGCACTAGTCGCCTGGGCTTGCTGGTTTCCACACCGCTGCTGTGCTGCTGTGAGTGGAGATGGGCCAGGGCCAGGGCAGCTCCATGGCCGGGTGTTACCTGGGTGCCTGTTCTCAGCCTCTGCAGCCTGCTCTGCCTCACCCTTCTGGGCACCCGAAGGACCCTGCGACATCCCTCTGAACAGCTGCTCTATTTGTGTACACCTGGGCAGAGATGCAGGAGCTTGTGGTCCAAACCGACTGTCCAAACCACCCTTGGTTTAATCACCGTCCAAACGCAGCAAGAACTAAGCTGTCTGCTGAACCAGCAAAGGTGCTTGCAAAGGCAGGGAATGACAGAATCGTATGAATCATAGAATACCAGGTTGGAAGGGACCTCAAGGATCATT